TCAAACAAACAGACAAACAACACGCCTAGGAAAGTAGTTCAGTGTGAAGGCCCTGCCTCAGATTCAATCCCCAGTATCACAAAAAGTGAACAAAATAAAGCTTGCTAGTAAGCAAATTAGCTCTAAAATAATAATTTTAGATTGAGTTTCTGTTTTCATCTATTTGAAGCTTAATATTCCCGAGTGATTTTATCATATTACCATTCCATTGCTTCAACAACTCTGATTTTTGTTGATCTCACTGCATGGCTTTCTTGACCCTTTTTATTCCAAATGGATCCAGGTAAAGTAGCTTATAAATTCTACCCATAACCTGCAGTCCCAGTTCCTTACATATTAAATGACATTCTCTTCTTTTGTCATTGCATCTAGTGCATACACATACTAGTATAAAGATACTGATACGAGATCGGTCTATATTTTCTCATGAGTTTTTAAACCCTAAAGACATGAACTGTTATTCAGGTTTGAATATAACAGTTATCAATACCTGATACACAATAGACACATACAAATATCTCGAAAATGAGAAATTTTATAAATTGTATTAACACTGTAAAATGTGTAACGAATAAACTAAATTTATAGTTTAATTTGATCCATGTCTCAAATTAGTTAATGCGTTAAATTGAACTTGCCTTAAGAGTGACTCTACCTTCCCCCTTTCTGTCCATCTGCCCTAGTCCCCCATTTCTGTGTGTGCCTAGAAATTCTGTTCTCAGATACGCCAGAAAAATATATTAAATATGTTCTGCTACTTTATGCATACATAACACAAATACAAACTACTCAACACACACAAATATGCTATCAGTACTTTTAGGAATGAAAAAGTAAGGCACATAAAAGTTAAGGTTGTTTCAGCAGCAACATTCAATAGATAGTACTGAGAATAAAAAAGAAGTAACATTTATTCTTGCAAAAACTGCAGAAAATGGATTAATTTATCACTATATAAAACTGGAAAATATTTTTTACAAAAATATACCTTCCCTTATGTTTTAAACAATGAGTACATTTAATATTTTAAAAGAACTGCTATATTAAATAATGTACCATGAAACAAGATTTTAAAAGAAAGATGGAATCAGACAGCAGCATTCAAGACTCATATATGTAATGGAAGAGCTAATAATATTAAAAAGAGTAAAGGTAAATTTCAATAAAAAATAATTATGCACTATGTGCTTGACACTTTTCTATGTTGTGTATACGTACTAACTCACTTCACTTTCAAAACAATCCTATGAGGCAGGCACTATGCTACCACTCTGCTAACAAATACACACAATGTGGATTCTTCTTCCTGAAGTCACAGATGAAAAGGCAGTAAGCCTGGATTCCACCACATGGTTTTTTTAACCACCATGCTGTACCTTTTCCCTCAATGTGTTCGTAAAGCATACAGTTGCAGCTAATCTACATATTGAGCTGATTACATTTTATTCTAATTTTTTAAATTGGAAATCATAAGAAAGAAGAAACTGACCAGCCACTGCCATAGTCTACTGATGGAACACCAGACATATTCTTTTACTGCTGGGGTTGGAGCTGTGACCAAATGGGACTTAGAATATCTACCCAAGGTAAGTCAGTACTCTACCATTTGGGCCCAGGTTTTTTTTAGCACTAAGATTTGGTGCTTTAAGAAAAAATATTTTATATAGTCATATGAAACTCTTTTAGAGAGTACAGAATATGGTGCCAATATTAATCACTTCTATTATTTTCAATCATACCTCTTATGATCAGTAATACAAAAATATAAAAATAATTTAGCCATCTCTGCTGCCTTATATATTTTATGTTTATATGATAGGAGAAAAATAAATCTGTACTAATGAAATAAAAAATGCATGGCAAATATGTCTATACTTCAACCGGAGTTGAAAGATATTTTTGAAACTCAAATTTAGAAACATTAAAAAAGTCAAATTGATATTGTTTTCAGAAAACCTATATTGTTTTTAATGATTTCTGACAAGCAAAACACATATCTGAATGCTTAATAAATTATGTAAATATATTTTAATGAAGTTATATAACCATGCTGTTATTTCCTTGTTTCTTTTAACTCACTATGCCTCTGTAAGAGAGAAATAAAAGTGAAATTCTGGAAAACTAAAAAAATTTTAAATGCTTAGAAAATGAGCAAACAGTAAGCTACTTCTCAATCTTGAATTTCTAAAATTGCTTTTTTAAAGTATTAATTTCTTATATGCCACCTAAATTACTTTACTTATAATTATAACTGGTGGCTGAAGATATGTTAGAAGTATTACAATGCCAAAAGCCTTCCACCTCGATGTCCTTTTAAGAAAATCACAAGAGCTTTGTAACATGGCAGTTCTTGGAGATACCAAATAGTAAATAAGAAACACTTGATCCTTATTTTCATTCAGTATTAAATTTATCAAGGAACTCATACACTTTAGAGATTTTCAAATGTGGTATTTTTAATCCCATAAAGTAAGTGGAGAGTAACGTAAAAATTGTAACAGGAAACACAACCCTAGTGTGCAGCTGTAGGACAGGTCTCCCTAGGAAATGAGGCATCAAGACAAAAGATTTGGTCAGGTCAGTAGATGTTGAGTGGGGTGATTCCAGACTGCAGAAGAGAGGGGCAACACAAGGTACAGATTTCAGCAAACAAGGAAACCAGCACGCTAAGCTGAAAGCAAGCTTGCTTGGCTGGAGCTAAGTGATCACTGGGGCCCCCATAGGAGAGCTGCCACAGAGGCTTACAGTTCAGCCGGAGGTCACAGCAGTTACAGGAGGCTTTTAACAGGACAATGATATGATCAGAAAACTGGGAAATGGACATTTACAGCTGTGACAGCATATGGGGAAATACTAAATTTCATTAAATAACATCGATAGACAAAAGTGATACTGTGATTAGAAGATTATTGATTTTTAAATTGAAGAAAGGTTTAGGTAATGAGATAGAAAAAAAAAACTTAAAGGCTCTAAAAGGGTGTTAGAGTTAAAATTAGGAATCATTTGTTTTAAAGACAAAAATAAAGTACAAAAGATCTCAGCCTTATACTAAAGAATTACTTTAAAACTGCATTTGATAGCACAAAAATGGTCATCCATTTTCAGATATGTGTCAGGATTAATTATATTTGTTTAGTCATTAGCAAAAAGTTCTATGAGAAGAGCTCCCAAAACATAACAGACACTTGGCCTGCCCTATGTTGGAGACTGTATATGCATATGGATAGTTACATATATATATATATATATATATATATATATATATATATATATAGTTAAAGTGGTAATATACATATCTCAAAAAATTTATGGAGTTCCTAGAAATTTATCAGTTCTCTAGATTTGCTTCTACCCTCAAGAAAACCATTGAGCAAGACACAAAGAATAGGTAACACCATGAACTTTTTCAGACCTTTCAAGTTCGTAATTTTAAATTACACATGGTCATTAATTCTGTGTCATGTGAAGATAGCTTTTGTTTTACACTGATGATTTTCTGAAGACTCTGCTCTGCACCAAAGGCCAGAGTTCATGTCTTCAATGGAGAGCATCCCCTAGAAAGAGACTTTGCTGCATCTCCAACTTTTGACACTACTGGCAAATATAAACTGATGTCATTTAAAGAACTTCCTGGATAAAACAATAGACTGAGTCACAACTTTTACTTTTCAGATACAGTGGCCTTCAAAAGAATTAATGTTATAGACAGACTGGGAGGGGGATACAGAAATCTATTTTACTTTGAATCTTTGAAAAATTGTTATAGTTTCTAGATATAAGGAAAGCCTTTCCATAGCACATACAATTTAATAAATTATACTTTCACAAATAAATCACTTTAAATCTCCCATTAACCTTCCTAAAATGTCTATTTATCTCACATGTCAATGAACTTATTTGCATAGGCTCATAAACTCAAACCTCACATGAAGATACAGCTGAACAAATTTATTGCACAACCAGTGGGTACAGAGGCAGTCATACTGTAGAATAAATGCTTAGGAGGGACCATTTGGCATTAAGGAATTAAGGTTAATTTAGCTATGGATTTAATGCTTAAAAATCTGCCCAAGAAACTTGGTCTTCTATCTGGCTCACAGGGTGCAACCACCCAGGTCAGGGAGGAGATTTTCTGGCAGGAAAGAATATTAATTAATTTGTATGACTCTGAGAAGACAGGAATATACCAAAAGGTATTGCTAGCACACATGATATCCAAGGTATGATTTCTTGGACTTTTTTATTGTTTACAGTGAGTAAACAAAAGGATCATAAAAATCCAATCCTAGACTTCATATAAAACATTCACATAGAAATGAATAAATCTAAAAAGTTCTAAGGTTTTTATTCTGGAAGAGTCTTTGTACGTATTTTTGTCTTTCTGCCTTTGTCTAGCCTCAAAATGGGTAAAGTCTCCTAACACAAATGTTAAAATGTTTGTTGTTCACCAAATAGAACAAGAAAACTATATAATTTCTTTATTTTACCACTTAGCATCCATCTGACACTAGTGACCTTCAAATTGATCTTCTTTTCTATTTACAAATGAATGTTTGCTCATCACAATATCCCTGAGTTTTGGCTTTCATATACACAACACAAGTATCCTGGTGTACAATTACCTTCCAGACAACCAATATTTTTTGCTTAGTATGTAATTACACGACAACTACATTTTTTTTTACGTTCTTTCTATACTGTGACAATAATAAAACTCAGAATGATTAAATTCAGGATAATAATAATTTCAGATTATCGTTGCCAGCAATATTCAATAAGATGCAACCTTTTAGATTGTGATTTTGTGTCATGTTATTACTGTAACATAATTCTATAGTAGTTTAATTGTAATTTTGCAGTTTACACATGATAGTATATTAAGAAATAAAGACTTTGTGTTTTAAATCAGAAAAGTCAAATCAAAATATTCTACATTATTTCTGTCATTTATGTTAGTTAACATTTTGAACAGATTAAGGATGTGATTACCTCATACTTACCCATGAAATTGAGATAGCCTTCTCCACCAAGTGCATGAGTAATGAGTCGAATCATCTTATGAAGCTGTATTCCACGATCAATAACTGGAGTAAAAGGAGCTAAAACACTCATGTTTGTGTACATTTCAGCATCCATCAGCCAGAATGCCAATGTCTTATCACCAACCAGTGCCTACAAAATAAAAGCTACTGAGATAAATGAACATCACACAGAGGAACCAAGCACATTGATTCCCACCAGAATAATACAACATATTTAGCAGAAAACAAAGTAGAAGTGTGTGGATTATTAATAATTTCATCTGAGGGCCAGGAATTTAGCTCAGTGGCACAAGCACCTCTGGCAACTGAGGGGTCATGAGTTTGATCCCTGGCACCACAAAAACTTTATAATTTCATCTATTTTTAAATGGTTACTTTCTATGCTAACAATGCACTGGTAAAATAAGAGGGCAACACATTTGCATCTAGAACTCTGTGTCGGAGTGTGTGTGTGTGTGTGTGTGTGTACACATAGACTACCACAGATTGAACTCAATGTTTTTACACTGAGCTATATCCTCAGCTCTTTTTTTAAATTTTTAATTTGAAACAGGTTGTCTTAAATTACTAAGTTGCCCGGGCTGGGCTGGAATTTGTTGTCCTACTAAGTCAGCTTTCTAGAATGCTGGGATTATAGGCGTGTGATGCCATGCCTGTGTTTTCTACTTTTTTTTTTTTTTTTAACATAAATTTGCTTTCTCATTATATTTGTTATTTAACCTAAATTTGGTCTGTTTTATCGAAGAATGATAATAATAATGGAGGCAAGTAGTTCAGAAATTTCCTGAGAGGCCTCCTAACAATCTGAATTATTCACAACTAAAAACAGGCAACTAATGTAAATTATTCAGTACTGACACAACAATGGCATATAGAGAAAAGCAGAAGAGAAATTAATCTGTAATTTTAGTATAATGCTACAATTATTGTTACTTTTAGAAAAAAAATTCCAGTCTAATATACCACTAACTTTATTTCAAAAGAAATTTACAGTACTGAGAATTCAAGTCTAGTACTAAGCTACATACTCAATATGTTTTTTTGTGATGCAAGGTTTTGTCAAGTTCCCCAGCCAGGACTGGCATTTGCCATCCTCCTGCCTCAGATTCTCAAGTGATGAGATTATAGGCCCTTGCCATGCTGTTCCACCTTCGCTGACTACCCCTTTACAAATAAAATGACTTATTTAAAACTCTGTACTTTAGCACTTTCTATTTTTTTTAAAATTTTTATTAGTATGTGTTTGCAGTACACAATACTTACACTCACTGTGGGAAATCGGTATATGTACATAAAATCTCAGTGCTTTTTATTTCTCTTTCTCTCCACTCCCATCTTTAAAAATTCTTCATGCCATTATCAGATTCATTTATTTATATTATCAGTCCTTGTCTAGTTTATTATCATAAGTACAGACTAACAGCTACACTAACAGGTCAAAAAAATAAAGAATGCATAAGGTATTTGTTTATTTTTTTTAGGGAGAGCTTCGCTACATATTCCAGGCTGGCCTTGAACTCATCTTGTGGCTAGGGTTAGCCTGGAACTCATGACAATATTCTACCTCAGCCTCCTGAATGTCACGATTACAGCTAAAAGCTACCATAACTTTCTCTGTATTAACTTTTGAATGTCTAATTCTATTAATTTTTTTCTCATCTTTTGGTTATGTTCACAAATGAGATTTTTTTTTTATATTAAATCACTCTCAAAAATACCACTGTAAAGCCTAGAAAGATGATATCCTTTTGTAATCCCTCCGGAGCTTGTCCCAGCAGGATCTTAAATTTATGGCTAGTCAGAACTGCAACACCAAGAGCCATAAAGTAAGAAAGAAGGAAGCAAGGAAGGAAGGAAGGAAGGGAGGAAGAAAGGAAGAGAGAGAGATAGAGAGAGCAAGCAAAAAAAAAAAAAAAAAAAAACAGGAAAGGAAGAGACTAGTATAGTGAAGCACAGCTTTAAATCCCAGGACCCTGGGAGGCTGTCATAGAAGGATCTCAAATTTAAGGCTCAAATCCTGTCAGCAATTTAGTAATTTAGGGAGACCTAAATTCAAGAAAAGATTCTGGGAGCCCAGCATCATGGTAGAGCATCATAGTTCAATCCCCGGCACTTCAAAATAATTGGTGATACTTATAAAATTTAATTTATCTTATGAACAAAGTAATGAATTTATCTAAATTTTAATTAGCAATTTTTAAAATATTTTACTATAATTTATATATTTGTGCTTATTCATTTTGTAAATGAGATTTTTACATTTTTAGGTTTTTATCTGTCTTATGGGTAATACTTGCTTTTAGAAAGAGTGAGGCAACTACATCAATTCCTACATTCTTGACTTGTAATATAAAACTGAATTACTGAAGGCACTTTACTTTAAGGTACAAAAAATATTTTTCACAAATTTGTTGCTTTACAACCAGGTTGTGAACTACGAAAGAAATCTATCAATTTTGTCTTCAATTTGTTTATTCCACTCATGTATATATTTTTTTATTTATTCATAAAATAAAATGTATTAGAAATGTACAATATGCTACACCTCCTGGGTGTTTACAATAGAAGCACATAAATTATGCATGCATTTGAATTTTTACAACACTATGTGTTTGGTGAGAGGTTCCCACTTCCTCATCTCCTTGCCCTCCACCACTTAAACTACTACAACTCTTCCCTCAAGTTTGAGTTTTAGATATTTAATAGACACTTAATTGATCTGCTCCATGGTCAAGGATACTATCTATGCCCCAAACTGGAAGATGCAAAATTTAGCACAGCTTGTTGGGAAGACCGGTAAATTTCTGTGAAAGGTCAAACAATACTGTTGTAGGTGTTGTGGGCCATGCTGTCCACCTCAACTACTCAATCTGCAGGGTGGCAGTAAAAGCAGCACATAAACGAATGAGCCTAACTTTACTTACATATCTAACAGCAGGCAGCTGTTCCTAGTTACATACATTGTGGTAACCAATTCCTAGTTACACACATTGTGGTAGAAGAGAAACCTAAAAATACATGTAAGTGTAAACCATGAAATGGTCAATTTTGGTTTAAATAATGGAGAAATTTATTCTTTACTTTCAATTTTTTAAAATAGGGATACTTCCAAGAATTTAATATTTTTATTGCTTCCTTTTTTATCTATACAACACAAATTATTGTATTTTTGATGTTTATGAGGATTAAAATGGTTCTAAGTAGCTAACTAATCTCCTCTGTTTTACAGAAGAGGAGCCTTAGACAATTGGGCAGGGCATGGAACAGGGAACCCGATCTTTTCTAGAATGACAAGCTGAATCCAACAGGGCTGTTAAGATGAGCTTTGCTGTTTGGACAGAAGTTTAGGCTGCTTTAGAGACGAGGACTTGGGGTGCAGTCGAGATTTTCATGACTGAGGAAAAAAATAAGGAAATCTTGCCCTGGGTATAAAAGAAAAACTCTAGAAGAAGGAAATCTAAGACTGAAAATAAAATTATACTGAAGGCTTTTTCTTTATGGTAAATGTAAACACACAACATTTTCAACTGCAATGTACAAATTTTAATTACAGTGTCAGAGTCAACACACTACATTTTGAAACTGGAATTTCTAGATCTAGAAAACTTAAAATGTCTTTAGTGTGAGTTTTCATCTAGATATTCATACACAAAATATGCTACAGTAAGTGTATACTATAAAAGTGTGTGCTTAGACATGTTTTTAAGAATTAAGTATGAGAGTGATAAATACTGAGAAAGGTATGAATTCATACACATACTCCTTTACCTGATCATGGCTCTCTGCATAAGCAATACACTTTTCAAGATGGCGTCGATTTGTGAGGGTATGTACTATATTGCCCATATTCCAATCTTCATCTTTCAATTCTTTAAGTATCTAGATACAGGAGAGAAAAATAAACATATAGGTAAACCATTATTTTTCTTTAAATCTCAATCTGAATGCATATATCATCTTTTTCGTTTTTTCGTTTTTGGTTTTTTATCGGTACCAGGGATCGAACTCATGACTGCCTGCTTACAAGGCAGGCGCTTATGCCGCTGAGCTAAATCCCCAGCCCCTGAATGCATATATCATCATATAATTCCAAATTGTTTGACAAGTAGATATTATCCCATTAAAATAGCACTATCATAAAGTTTTAAAGAAATCATAGTTTTTAGATGCAATATCTAATGGACGGTGACACACTACATGTGTGTACTTGGTTTTTGTGCAAATAGCTTAAATCACAATTTAAATTGCTTGCAATTTTTTTTCTGTAATAACTGCCACCTCTTAGTGCCCATAGTAAAGTGATATTGTACCATATGTCTTCCTGTAACTTTCACAAATTAGAAGTATACTGCTAAATGTTTAGATCTGAATGAAATAGTTTTAATAGGTAGCATATTTTGTCCCATTCTTAAACAATGATCCATTTCAAAGTTAAACTGAAATTTATTTACATAAAATACTGTTATTATCGCTGTACTTTGTTTTTATTTCATTTTCTTCAATTTGGTTGTTACTCTCTAACATTGCTTTGACTGGACTGACCTTGCTGAGATCTCAGATGGTCATCTCTGGGGACAGTAACTGCTCTTGTCCCTGTTCCATACTCGGTGTTCACAATACTGTTGACCATCTCCCTCCCCAAGAATTGCTCCCTTTAGTCTATCCATGTGAATCTCATGTTATTTCTTCCTACTACTAGTGACGACCTGAAAAAGTCTTTCTCTGACTGTAATATAAAAGCCGATGCTCCTCAGGTTTATGTCCTGAATACAGTCTCCCTTTTTTCAAGATACTTTTTCTGCAAATGAAGTCACTGACAGGATTCTGAAATGGCCTCATAATTCCTTCTCTCATCTATTTATATCCCCATGCAATTCCTGCAAGTGAGTAGACTCTGTGAATATGGTACTGCTCCTTTGAAGAAACACGAGATGGTAATTGAGTAATGTTTTAAACTTCTGAAATCTGCAGCCAATTTTTACCTAACAATAGAAAACTAATCCAAATTTCGGCACCAGATTGTACTTCAGATATATGCAGCAACTTGGCTGAATTGCTGATGAGATGAATTCATCTCTGCATGAATTTTTCAGAATTTTGCTTATATTTTCCTTTGCTGAGGTACTGTTCTTTGGAGTCCAGACCTGATTATTCAATCCCAATAGTTCCAATGGGAATCACTGGGCACCAAAAGGTGGTTGATCACAGACAAAAGATGAGCCACTTTACATGTTCACACCCAAGTTCCCACAACCTAGGAATGTGTTACAGGTAAAAAGGACTTCAGAGATTTGTTGACCCTGAGACCATCAAGATCAAAAAAAAAAAAAAAAAAAAAAAAAATCCTGGATTATCCTTTTTGGCCAAGAAAGAAGCATGTGTGTCAGAGTTAGACAAAGATTTATGATGCTCTTGTGCTGGCTTTGAAGATGGAATAAGAGGCCACAAGGGAAAAACAACAGTTAGAAGCTAAAATATCTGTCAGCCTACATCCAGCAAAGGAGTTCAATCTAGAATATTAAGATTCTCAAAACTTCACAGTAAATAAATGTTCTAATTGGAAAACAATCCACAGATATCAGCAGATGTCCTACTCGGTGAGTATCCAGAAGGCATATAAAAACATATACTGGGATAAAAAGAACATGCACTGGGATAAAAAATTCAGGAAACATACACTAAAACTACAGTGAGAAATAACTACATGCCTATCATAATAGCTAAATTAAAATAGTAATAATAATAAATGCTCACAAAAACATAAAGAATTAAGATCTCTCAAACATTGCTAGAGGGAATATAAAATAATACTGCTACTCTAGAAAAGAGTATGACAGTTCTTGGAAAAGTAAACTATGGGACTCAGTAATTGCACTATTAAGGATTTACCTCGTACCAAAGATAACTTACAGTCATTAAAAAAGGGTTGAATATAAAATGTTTATAGCTTGTTCATAACAATTACAGTGTGGAAGCCACCTGAATATTCTTCAGTAGATAATGTATTAATGATACATGAAACAATCTTGATAAATCACCAGAGAATTCTGATAAGTACAAACCCTGGTCCAGAAAGTTTATATACTACATGATTTCATTTATAAAACATTATACATGAGATCACATAAATGGTTGCCAGAAATTCAGGAGCAATTGTGGGTAACAGCAAAGCATATATAGCTAAACAACTCTGTGAAGTTAGCTGGTATTGATGTAAGCATTCGATGCCTTGACTAGATCAATGTCAGTATAGTGGTTATAACACCGTATTAAACCTTTGGAAGATGACACTGCAGGGAGATATTTCTTACAACTGCAAGTGAATATACATTACTTCAATATAAAATTTTAAATAATAACTTTAAAAATAACAAAAATACTAAGTAATCAGAAACTATTTGGTGACACTAACAAATCAGTAGTTAGAAGTGACACATTTTATAATTTAAAATGATTAATATATGTTTATATTGTCATTGCATGCCCACTTCAGCGATTCAACCTGATCAAGTAAAATGAAAGGACATAACAAAGTTGACATATTTTATGTAGTCAAATATTTATTAAATACATTATTAAACAAGAATTATGTTCCAAATTAGAAATTATCAAATAATACAGCTGAAAAATGTACTGAATCTGCTTTAAACAACAAGGAGTGAAATCTAGCATTCTAACTATGTTTATTATATGTGCAGTTTGAGTATGGCACATAATCATTTATGATGATTTAATATTCTTGCAAAATTTTACTGTCATGTAGGGAAAATTATAGACATTTATTATGTTTTAAAATTCACAAATTAGAAAAGCAGAGAAAAAAATCACTGTATCCAAGTTCTTTTCAAAATACTATTTACAGTTTTATTGACTAACATCCCATTTCGATGATGTAAAAAGTTTTTAAATAATAACATAAATGAGAAGATGACATCTGCCTTTAGAGAATTTATAACTTAAGATGACAGAGTGGTCATATCATAAACATAGGACCATACACTTTCTTATTTTTATGTTGCTCTGCCTACTACTATTCTTCAAACATATGAAACTGTATGTTAATTAGGTTAAAATTAAAAATTTGCAAAAACACTGCCATCAATCTTCCAAGTAAGATATATATGAATGTGAGCTACAAATGACTGCAAAATAATTTCACAATTAAAATATTAGGAAATATTTTTGAATCTACACCAAAATAATGGTCAGAGTTTTTCACCAAGAAGTTAAAAAGAAGGATTTCATGCTTGTGAAAGAAAGAAGACTATGCTGCAGACTAAAAATACTAAGACAAGGACTGATAAAGTTTACACCAAGGTGAGAAATTTTAAAATCACAGTATTTAGAAAAGAATGAATTCAAGGCTACCTTTTGATGTATTAAAGCCTAATAGTCATTTACATTTAATTTCTCAGTCTAATAGTCTCGTAAAATACTGCCTTTGAACCTGATAGCGTTTAAGGAATCACTTTAAATAAAAGAGCAGAATTCATGTGGGTAGGAGTTTAACTATCATAGATGTGCACTGTACAAATTGTCTAGGTGTACAAGAAAGGCAACAGGAGATGAGTCCAATAACCATACCCTCAGAATAGATTTTTATGATTTTTCTACACAAAGTTAGACATTTCTACCATTGTAGTCTCATGGAATTAGTGCAAGACTGTGCTCGTCAGAGTCCTTTATACATACATCTGATGTATGGACATTATACTCAGCCCATGTTTACAAATGTCCTCCTCAAGATCCTCCATGTCAAATCTAAACTTACTTTCACCCTTTGGATAAAAAAAGACATGTATTTTTCTCTTCCTATATTTTATCATACACACAAACACACACACATATGTGCATTCATATAAACCAAACTACTTAAACAATCATTAAATTTAATAAAATTATATTGAGAAATAATGTGTAAAGCTCCATGCAAAATTAAAGGATTCATTCCTATTGTCTAGCATAAGGTAAGGACTTTTTAAATGCTGAGTGAAGAAATAGATGAATTCAATTTTTTGAGGAAAGATCATAATAAAAAGTAAGTGCAGAGAATTAAATAGTAACTTCTACAATAGCATGTTCATGATAGGGCTGTAATTCGCATGTCTTGTTGCCGGGCAATTTGGACCACCTACAGTATATGTTTGACTCTTCCACTATTAATTTTATTAATAAAAAGACTGATAAAAGTGACTAGATCCATTTGTACCACCAGTAGTACAAACTGTCCAGTGGGACAGTCAACGCATCTACCACAGGTGGTTCAGACCAGCAGAACGTGTTAATGGACAATGTCCCAGGAGAAATGAAGGCTTTGATGAACTTCGAGGTATTTAAACTATCAGCAGTAAAGTTTTACACAAGTTTATTAGCAATGAAAAATTCCTTATTAAAAATCATATGACTCAATATCCTAATGGAAGAATTTAATACTTATAATATCTTTAACTAATGATGACTAAGAAAAAGTTGAAGAATAAATAAACCAACATAGTATCCACAGGAAAAATAAATATTTACGTGAAACCTTACCTGGATCCATTTATCCGGAATGGCCATGGCTAACCGATAGTCAAAACCACCTCCTCCCTGGGAAATCGGAGAACAAAGAGCTGGCATTCCTGATACATCCTAAAACAAAGCAGATGAGCACTATTAGTTCATATGCCTCGAACATTTTATAGACACAAATATACATATGAAATATAACCGCTATGTGTTATATTCTCCATATATGCTATAGTCAGTGGTTCACAAGCATACAGATAATATAGGATACATATTATAGGATTATTTTATAATATTCACCCAAAAAGTCAAATGCAGAAGAGTGCAAGAGATCTGTCCACAAACTAAACACCTAAAGAATCCATCCAAGGGCCTGGATCCCAAGATAATGTCCCACAGGAGTATGGTGGAAGGCCTGTCCAAAGCAATGTCTCATGCAAGTCTGCATCAAGGAACTGCACCAGGAAGGTGCAAAAAAGCCAGTGGTGAAAGTTAAAATGTCTGCACTAGTCTGGTGAAGGACTTCTGTTAGATGGCTGAAGGATCTGTGCTGAACTATTCAATTATATGCTTCTGTGATTATGTTATAAAATAAAATCTATCAGGAAAGTATATGCTGTGAATGATATATAACAAGAATCTCGAACAATAGAATACTACTGGAAATAAGGCAGATACAAAAATATTTGCTGAGTGAAAGGTTTAAGGTATCCTGACTTCTGGGATTTATTAACTAGGGTGTAAATACATAAAAAACAAACATTAATGAAATGGCAATAAAATGAGATGACAATAAAATATAGCTGTGATAATTCACTAAAGTATACAGAAAACAAAACAGCAAACCCTATTTTCTTCTACTATTTCATTTCAAGTACTACATACTTTGGCTACCTTGAAGTACTTACACTTTTTTATGCCTTTCACAAGCTTTTTTACTTGTTTCTTGCCAAAAGTCTTCCCTGGATTAATACTTTTACTTGTTATGTATCACATTCTAAAACATCTTTGAGACAACCCAAATGCTCATTTACTGCAGTAGCATCCCAAACTCTTTCCAAAGAGGTGACGAAAAAAGAAGTGTCTTATTTCTATGGATCCCCCAGATAATTTATTATTTTATGGAAGAAATGTATAGATAAATATTTACATGTAGAATAGAGCCTTAAGAAGATAAAATGCTTGCCAATGATATCTTATTTCTGCACAGTTCTTAATAGTTCATTAAAGTTAGAAAAACAAATGGTCAACAGAAAAGGAAACATTTTAAAGGTTATATTTATCAAATTATACGTCACGCTTTCGTAGATAATGTAGGTAGGTAGTAAACTGATTATAAGTGTCTGCTGATTATAAACACTGAGCATCAAGCACCACAAAGCAATCACACATGCAAATCTTTCCAAAGGACTTTCCCTGATGAGACCAAACAAACAAGAGTAATGACTGGTGCCAGTGTGATATCAAAAATCAGGATAAATTTTCTTAAAAGGACATTAAAATATGTCATGGTTTATGTCTGTGTCCCCCAGGCCTCATGAGTTTGCATTGTTCATTTGTGATAGTTGATTGTATAGTGCTTGGATTGATGGTGTCAGTGCTCCACCCACATAGGGGTGGAGCCAGGATGTGATGTAATGGCAGGAAGAAGGTGTGTTTTGCCCCCCCCCCCTTTTTTTTGTCTTTTTTCTTTTTATCGATACTGGGGACCGAACTCACAAATGCTGCTTGCAAGGCAGGCGATTATGCCGCTGAGCTAAATCCCCAGCCCCTGTTTTGCTCTTTGCTGGTTCCAGCTTGCTGTTTGCAGCCGCCATGAACTGCGGCCCAGCCATGCCCGCCTGCCTTGGAGCCAACTGAGTGTGGACTGAAACCTCCAAAAATTGTAAGAAATAAACCTTTCCTTACCCAACTTGGGCTTCAGGTATTTTGTCTCAGCAACGAGTAAAAAGTAACTAAGACAAAATATATCCTGAATTATACTATTTAATGTTTCCATAAAAAGAATCACTAAAAAAAAAAACATGGACATTAATTTGTCTTGATTGTTAAATGAATCCTAGGTACATATCCTATTAACACATACAAGTATCTGTACTCTCAAAAATTTAAAAGGAAAAAAAAGTATATGTAAAAAGGAGGAAAATAAATACACTTGAAAATTAGAAAGCTACCATCAGATAGGGTGGTTTAAAAAGGATTCAGATGTATTATGTACATTTTCCAACTCACTAGGATAAATGAAATTATTATGTATTGCAAACATGTAATAATAACTTAAAAGTTGATTTCTGCTGATATAGTACATAAAACTGATTGTTTTTTAATGAAATTAAGATACGTCTAATTCTTTAATATATAAACAAACAGAAAGTAGGGCCTGGGATTTAGTCTGTCTGGCAAGTGCTAGGTTGTGAGTTAGATCCCTGGTACCAAAAAAAAAATAAAAAAATAAAAAGTTCTCCCTCTCTTCATAAAAGCTCCCCAATCACCTCCAATATAGAGCTTTACGCAGGGATTTAGCTCAGTGGCATAAGCGCCTCGCTGGCAAGTGTGAGGTTGTTTGATCCTTGGTATCAAAAAGATAAAAAATTTGAAAACAAAAAATAAATAAATAAAACACATGCCTATTTCAGAGGGGTGATAATTTAAATAAGTCATTGCATAGAATGGTAGCTATATTGTAGAAAAATGGTTTCAATCATAATTTTCATTATAAATAAATTCATGTCTGATATATAATTTTATACAAAATTATACATTTGTTTTTGTAAAAAAAACAATTCATGAGGACCAATTCTACATTTTGATGTTTGATGTTTGATGTTTTATTACTGAAATTGAAGTGGTTTTCAATTTAAGTAGAATAAATTGAAGATACATCTTACTTAAAAAATAAAATCCAAAAACAAGCAATATGAAGTAGTCTAAAATCTCCAAGTTTCATTGGTAAAAACCATGGTAATCAGAGAACTCCCTAGATAATAAAGCCATTTTACTTAAAATGAATGGAGAGATCAATGTAACAATTCTAACTTTCATGTATTAAATAATTGGTTCTTTTTCTTCAGAATACACTTTTGATTTTCACTGTCATTTTTTGTAGTATTTTGTCATATATAACATCTCTGCTTTGAATTACTATAAATGTAATTGACAAAATAATTGATTTTTTGAAGTTTGACAGATAAAGTTAAAATACTATGCAAAAGAATGCAAAATTTAAAATACACTCTGATGTTAAAAAACATTCCACACATAAAGGACTGTGTTAGCACAAGTATTAGCAAGATGTGCTAAGATCAAATGTAAGTAGGTAGAGAGCACTAAATTCATACTGAGTATATAAATAGTATTATAATTTTGGGTTTGTTTTTTAAATTAAGAAATCATTTGAAGAACATGAGTGAAGTTGCTGTATTTCCAGAAGATATTTACCAGGTAAAAAGCCTAAAGGGTGTACAACTGTTCTTTCTCTAGGGACAAATAATGAAATTTATTTCAATTAGGTGTAGAGTTTTGCTTTTGAGTAATGATGGATACAAAAAAGGGCTATACAAATAATACTATAAGGCGATTCAATACACTTTCATTCCAATGAACTAAATAACATCAATATAAACATACATTTAATGCCAACTTTTTCTAAAGATATTTTTACTGTTTTTAGATGTCCACCACTATACTCTTTATGGTACAGTTTAAAAATCTTAAATTCAATTTTCATAATAACTTCTAGTTAGAGGATTCAGAAAAGCAGGGGGATTTATTATTAAATCTAAATTAGCATAAACATTTAACAAAGTTCTTAATTTATCACATTTAGCACAAAGAAGGGAATTGTCAATTACACATATTCCAAATTATATCAATATAGCACTGCTTTGGGACAGTTAATCAAGAATTTTCAGTAATCATGAATAACTATGAACATTTGGCAATCTAAGAGAAATAACATAAACAAAAAGGTAATCACACCAGAACAAAAAGGTCTGAGAAGAGCTTGCAGGCTATGCTATTTCAAATGATTACACCCCGAAAAGAGAAACATAAATGAAGAGACAGACACACATTAACATTCAATTATTTGCTGAGGATCTCAGGGCACAAGGACATGTCCACTGATGAGAATATTTTACTTTCTTACAACAGGCATTTTCTTTTTAACAAAGGAGCAGTGACAAGTAATTAGTATATATTACCCCCTAATTGGAAAACAGTGAATTCTAAAGAAAATGCCACTCATTTAAGATAGCTGTATTATAGTCTGGGTACAATGCCATTTATGCAATTATTGACAGCATGAGATTAATTATTCAAATACTGTATGGTAACAAAATGTCCTGTCTTAAAAGGAGTCAGAAGATAAGAGATCATTATGGCTTTACCTCAGCTATTGTTATGGAATCTGGATACAACGTATGAATCAAATGATTTGCCAACATGAGATAAACCAGGGCATCTTCATCTACTTGTAGTCCAAAATATTCATTATAATCACCTGAAAAACCCTCACCTAAAGAAAAAAAGAATCAATACAGATGTATTATGCCAACATGCAAACCTTTACCCTTGTACAATCATACTTGAAATTGATATAAAATTTTTTACTATAACAAAGTTATAGTAAAATAGTAATAATGTCGTTATTCACAAAGTGCACTAACTAAAAAATGCTTTGTATTAATATTGAGTTTAAACAATTCTGCAAACTTGTTTTTGTTGCTGTTATTGATTTTTGGTTTAAAAAAGGAAGTGAGGGTTGGGGATGTAGCTCAGTGGTAGAATCCTTGCCTGGTATGTTTAAGTAAACTTTAAAGGTTTAATTTTAAACAAACTATACAACAGAAAAACTATGTGATACTGAAAAGAAACCCTAAATTTCAAACTATTGATTCAGTTCAGGTCACATCAATAAAATGACAGTGTAATGTTTTAGCAGGTCCCTCTGAAATAAATATGAAAACCATCAGGAAACTGAGATGTAACATTTATATTATTTTATTGGAGCATATTAATTTATGCTCAACAGATTTTCTAAGATGATCAAGTATAACTAACCTTCCTTCTATATCTTCTCTTATCTCCTGATTTTGCTTGTTTAAATTATATAGTACTTATTTGGATAACACTGTATTGTTTCAAAAATATACTTTAATTTTTAGAATTAAATCTGTGTTCAACACTAGCTTTTTTTGTTCTACTTCCATATATATGAATTTTTTTTCAGACTGGTGAATTCCATTACTGAAGAATATACAAGTTATTTATGTTTATATAATTTGGTGGTAAATCAAGTATATTTCTCTATTTGATCTGTCATTCTCTTTTAAAGCAATGTTGATTAAAATGTATATATTCAAGATAATTATTTGCTATAGGTATGTATTATATACTAATTACCAGTCAAATTAATTATATCTATCACCACCCACAGATACCATCTGTGCATGTGTGTATGTACATATGTATGTATGGTGAGGACCCTCAAAATCTGCTCTTATTAAATTACAAATAAACAGTACAGTATTCTTAACTGAAGTCATCATCCTGTACATACGATCCGGCAATCTATTCATCTTTTTATATCCTTTAACCAAAATTTCCCAATTTTCTCTAACTTACCAGCCAATGACAACCACTATTCAACTATCAAATTCTTAAGTCATATTGTTTTCCTAAGAAATCATTATTGAGTCCAGCCAATTATTTCTTCCGTAAAGTGAATTACCTTACCTTCTTATGTATTTCCTGATGAACTTAAGTGTTTGTAAATTAAATATTCTGTCTTAACTTTTTTTTTCACAAATTCTGTGGTTTACTATATGATCTCTTTTTAGTGAACTTTCTGGTTTTCTATTTAGCTTTCATTTGTTTCCTCATTTTAAGACAGTGATACATGTTAAATAACTCACAGTATTTTCCTTTAATGTTTCTTGGGTTCTCTACACATGAAAAACCTGTCTCATATTGGCGAACTATGATTAACTTCTGCAATACAATGAACAGATGAAATATATTACCCTCAGAAGAAGGGGTTTTAAACTAGGAGATTTTCATTGACTTTAGCCAGGTTTATCTTTGTAGCCTCAATGCCAGTTTTTCCCAACCTTCTTCTCTGCAAACATTTCATTTAGGCAGCATCATGAACAAGAGTAAACAGCACCCTTTAACTACTCATCTTCTTTTCTTAGCATCCACTTTTCAAAATTACAATCTATAGCTCTTCCCCACCTTTTTGTGCTTGCTGGTTGTGACTGACCATTAAAAAAAGGCCCATACTTTCTGATTAAGATCCTGAAATCCTACTTAGCACAATTTTCAAGTGAAAGGCCTGATCAGTGACTTTATGAGTTAACTTACAATTTAAGTTGAATTAAAAAATCTTTATTTAAAATACACGTATTTCCTTCAATGTGTAATATGTAAAAAATAGTCATAAATATTCCTACTTTTTTTTTTACTTTTTATTATATATTTCTCATCATAAATGCTAGCAGTATAATTTTTCATCATAAATATTTATTTTTCACTGGAAATGCTATCCTGAGGGTGCTATACAAATGAATTCCTAAAGGTTTTTTTTAAAGCTATATATTAGGCAAAGTACTATCATCATAATTATTTAGCTTGCTGAGACCTTATCTTGCCTTTGCTTTTTCCTTGAGTCAGGCTGGTTTTGAACACAGTGCTTTCCTGCCTCAGCTAGCGTTTGAATGATCAGATTACAGGCAAGTCCCAACGCAACCAGTTTGGTACACTATTAAGAAAATATATTAAAAGAAAATAATTATCATTTTCTGCCTTGTAAAATCTATTTGTACCTTAACTCTTCCCACAAATTGCCACAGAAATAACTATAGCAATGACAACATAAAATGTAATGACTAAAGTGAAGCCACCAGTAATAGTCACTACAATTACTGAAGCTACCCCCCTCCAAGCCTGGTGATATTCGTGTAGTAAAGAAATGAAAGAATAAATTCACTAGTTCCATTTGTAAAACGCTAGGTTACCTACCTATTCCATGGTGATGATACAGCATGGATGTAACACCATCAAAGCGAAATCCATCAAAACAATATTCTTCCAACCACCATCTTATGTTCGACAGAAGGAATCTTAAAACTTCCCAGCTAAAATATTAGATAAATATGTTTTAAGCACAATGCAAGTAAATGTTTTCTTAATTGTTATTTCCTCTGCTAAAGTATTAAAATGCATAAATTTGACATGAAACAAGATGTTCAAAGAACATATACAAAATCCAGAAAACTACTGACAAATAACTCATTTGTTAGGTGCAATATATTTTAAAGGAGAAACTAAGTTAATTTCGGCCACAGAACAATTTAACACCTAAGAAAAATAGATAATGAAGAAAAACTAAATAATGGATTCCAAGAGCAAAGACTTTGTCTTGCACAGTGTGTGTTTCCAGTTACCAGAATGGTTATTAAGCATAATAGCACTAAAAGAGGCCACTTGTCTCTGAATTTTCAACAAGATGATTCATGTAGTATATAACTATAGATATAATTTTTTCTCCTTTCAGAAAATACATTCTTATTATCAGTAGAAAAAATATCTTCACTGTTTGCTATAATATTTTTCATGTTTCAATTTCAAATAGATATATTTTATAGTAAAATGTAAGAGATTTAAAATGATTTAGAATTAAGTCATGGTTAGTGATGTGACATTTACTAGACAATTGTAGGGCTCAAAAAAGAAAACCTAATTACCAAAAAAATGCCAGTTTAATATAGTGGAAAGTTCTGTATGTTAAAGAGCTCTATATCCACAAAGACAGAAGAAAAACAAAAAGTATGTAACTCAATTAAGAAACACCACATGAAACAAGTCTATTTTGGACAATTGAAAAGAGGGCATCATCAATTAGTATTTTCTTTAGTTGTACAGTTATGGTTGAGTTCTCTATCTTATTACAACTGTGGTTTTAAGACTTTAATACCTCATTTAGTTTAATGACAAAGCTGTAATTGTGTATACAAATCTTTAACCCATTTAAATTTATGTATTTTTCAATCTTCCATATACTAAAGAGCAGTCTGACATAAGTGGAGATTAAGTCATTACAGTCAATACAGAAATGTAAACTTAAAATTTGGTGAGAGATAACTATTGTTTGTGATTAACTACTTTAAATAAGTTACTCTGAGTTCTGAAAACTTAGTGAAAGTTTTTTTTTTTAAGATAGAACAAAACATAACTTGAAAGCCAGATATGGAAAGAGTAAAAGAGCTTAAAATGTTTGTTAGAAAATGATGAAGGTAGAATTTGCTTATGCTTTTATAAATACATACTAATTTACAGTTTAAGGGAAGAAATCACATGTAATAAAATAGTTACATAGCAGTAGGCTACAATTATATAAGATAGAAATTATTCTGTGTGGAAATATATAACTACTACATAATTTTGATATTTTTCTTTAATTGGTAAACTATATTTTAAAGAAGTAATGGATTCACATAAAAATTGAAAGGGAGGCACCAAAGTGTTCTGTATTTGTGCTGTCCCCACACGTGTGCATTTCTTTAAAGCAATGTTATTACATAAGAATTTTAGAAAAAAGATGTGAATGGATTTGCAGGTCAATAATCCTCTGAATGTTTTGAAAATTACATAGCACACACTTTTCTAATCTAATCTAATCATGGACCAGCAATGTATATTTTAACTTTGAAAAGTAAACTGAAAGATATTTTTTAGCCAAAAATATCCCACAGTAGAAACAAAGATTATTTAAATGCTAAATAACCTTGAAAGATATGTAAGATATGAGTATATAAACTATTACAAACTGTCCCTGAGCTTTAGACTACATGCAGTACTGATTTGTTGCTCACAGTGATGGCAAACTTTTTAGACTTTCAATGACACAAATAGCCTGCTGTGGCTCACGTGTCATAGATTCGCCACCACTGATCTAAAAGAATATTTTACATTTTTCATTTTGAATTCCTAAAGATGAATTAGGAAATGTCTAGCTCTCCCCAGATGCTCTCACTCCACATTTTCTTATGGCAGCCATATTCACTCATTTCCATCACCAGCTTGGACTTGTGAACATGAGCTGTCAATCTCTCACATACATATCATAGACTCAAAGTCTTCTAGAAGACAGATTTCCATCTAATAGCTGTATTCCAATAGCTACAAAGATAAAAGGAATGAGAAAATGACAGCATAATCCAATAATTAACAGAAGAGGAAATGATGTGAGTTTAATTACAGAAAAGAAAACATTGCCCTATGTTATATATTTGATTAAAGGTTGAATTACTAAATGTCCTATTGATTCCACCACTAACTTACTTATACTATTCTTTTCTAGACCAAAGAGTAATAACACTCTTTTTCACATATCAAAAAGAAAAGATACACGTAGGTCTAAAAATAACAGTACATACTTTTTGGCAATAATGAATTTTTTAAAATTTCATGATTACCAGCAAAAGAAAAATAACAAAAAAGGAGTATCCAATTAAAATTTTATTGATTAGGTCTGTAAAATAATCTTAACCTGATACAATATCTTTTTAAAAATCATCAAAAAAAATTCATAAAACAAATCACTATAAAATCAAACATATGGGAACAAATCAAATTTCTAGTACTTTCAAAATAATATATTTTATATTTTTATGATTCATTAATAAAACAAAATAGATATTTTTCACATAAGTAGGGTGAAAAAAAGGTATACAACATTTTAGAGGACAGAAAACTAGGACAAAATTAGTACAAAACAATGTCCAGTTTTAGGTTTGTTTTGTTTTTTTTAATCTCAGAAAACATTAAAAAAAAAGAATCAGAGTTACAATGTTAAAGTTAGTAACACTAAGTAAAAGGCAAAAATTAAAACACTAATTATCTGGTTAAATATATTTTCTAAAACTAGATTATGAGTAATAGGTAAGCAAAAATTATAGCTTTACAATGGTTCATTGTATTAAAAACCGTTGTTTATAAGAAAAAATGAAAATACCAGAGCAGCGAATAGAGGAAACAAAGTATGTTTCAAATTTCTGTGGTTCAAAGAGTCTTTATTACCATGATAAATTTAGAGAAAGTAATTCACTCTGTAAATTCAGCAGCCTGATTAAATTAATTTTAAAACAGAATCATTGTACTGATTCAGTAATTTATGTCCTTTGAAATCTACCATGTAGACTAATGTTGGTGTCTTAACAAAATCACACCCCACATGAGTACATTTTTGCATGGTCATATTGGAAAACCCAAATCTAAAGTATGGTAAAACATTATATGTATCATTGGAATAAAGGTGTAACTTGCATTCTTATTTTTCTTACAATAAGTAAATGTCCAACTGGATATAATTTGTTTAATTATTTAATAAATAATTTATCCTAGATTACTAAAGTCAAATTTAAGAAGAACTCTATTCTAGCAGTCCTCAAAACCACCTTGAATTTCAGCAATTTGCTAGACCAATTCACAAGAAGATTCATCATAAAATCATAACTAAGATTAAGACATAAGAATATAAAGTAAAATCTCCAAGACAAAATGTGCATGACACAGTTTGCAGGAATCTAGGTATAAATTCTGAGCCTGCCTCTGGTCCTGTCTTAACTCATAGAATACACTTAAATTCTCTGAAAATGAATTGTTAGGATACTTGCAAAATATTGCCTTCTAAGGAAGTTCACTGAAGACTCAGATTTCAGAGTATTTCTGAGAAATGGTAAGTATGGGAAGCCCTGTAATTGGCTGCCACCTTATATCTGTAGGCCGCACCACTTTAACTCCCTCTAGGAGTTAAGTCTGGTTGTTAAGCAGCACTTTTGCCTAGCTTGTTTGGCCTGACCTGTTCAGGAATTATACTAATCGGCCCACCTTATGAGCCCACATGTGGGAAATTTGAAAATTTGAATTAACCTATGACCCTCAGTCTTGCCACTGCTGCTAAGTTACTTGCTGATGTCTCAGAACCCAACTCCCTCCTCCCCAATACCCTATGTATTTGTTACTCATTCCTTGAATAAACGAGACTTATCGGACTTTGTCTTGTCTCCATTCTTTGTGTCTCTTGTTTCCTTTTCATCCCCACTCCCCCTCTAGTGTCTCTGTGGACTTACCCGCAGGCCAGAACAATGGGTAAGTAGGCACGCTATGACTAAGTACCTATCAAAATCTAAATTCCCTGAGGATAGCAGGACTTCAGAATAGTCATATGGTACAAAGACCTTAGGCGCACTGAACTACAGAAGGACAATCTTGTAGGCAGGTATTTCTCAGGATTGGAATCTTATTTCTGCTATATTTAATTAATGTCTGTACAAAAGCAGAATTTCACTTTGATTATGCAATCATAAATTGTAGTAACCTCCATTTATGAACACTTCTATGCACAAATAATCCAGTTTGCAAGCAAAAGATTTTAGCAAAATATTTCTTCCATTCACAAACTCCACAAGGTGACATACAATTCCCTGGGCATCTTCCCAGCATAAATATGAATGTGGCCATCACCCCCAAAACTGTAAAAAAAAAATGTTTTCTAAACAATGATACAATATTTAGTGCTACAAGTTTCTAGAGAAAAAGAATAACAACAAAATCTACTTTTGAAGTCATTGTGTCTTCCAGCTACCCAGATTTCAAAACCAATTAGAGAAAACTTAAGCATACATTAAAAATCTAAATATAGAAACATATCCAGTAGTTACTCTCATCTGCATCCCACCCTCCACACAGTGAAACTGCTGATCTCATACATGAATGCTCAGTTTGCTGAATCTAAGATTTGTCTTTTAAATGGAATACAACAAACTTAAGGAATATTTCACAAGTGAAAATACACATGATGTATGTATAATTAATGATTAATGATGTCCAGCACTAAGTCTAATCTCATAATTTTCAAATTTAGCACTCACAAGTTTCATTTTTCATTCTCTGGGGAACTGACAAGAAAAGTTATGATATATTGCAAAGTGTGACTGAATTAGAAACATTCAATGTGCTCTGCAGTAAGAAATGAACTAAACCATCTCTACTGAATGGTTTTCCTTGAGTAAAAGTATGAAAATATCTGGCAAAGGGTACATTAAAAAAGTGAATTCATCCTTTTAGCTTAAAA